AAACTGATTTTTTGTATTCTAGTGAAACTGATACAGCAGAAGAAACTGATGAAAGGTGTATCCCAGAACCTTTGACATATCTATTTGAACCAAATTTAACAAATTTTTCAAAAGAAGCTTTAATAAATAAAGGCAAACATAAATTTAAACTTTACAAAAATGTTATACCCAAAAATCTTTTGACAGATTATCAGAAAAAACTCATGCTCAACATTTTTCACAGTGTTGGAAAGAGCATAAATGTGGTAGGATTACTGTCTCCTACTTTTATGAAACATGTCACTTGTTAAAAAATGATAATAAAAGTTTTATTAACAAAATCCTGCAGTATAAATCTTTTGATGAAACAATAGCTACAAAGTATGGAACTGAAAATGAAGGTAAAGTGAAAGAAAAATATTTTCAAATAATGTCAGAACAAAATAAAATTTTAAAATAACTTTGACAAGATTGCATGCAATTTCAGGATTCCTGAAATCGGTGCAAGTCCTGATGCATTTTTAGAATGTTATTGTCATGGAAAAGGCCTTGTGGAAATTAAATGCCCTTACAAATATGTAAATGGTTTTGAATATTCAGAGAATGATAAAAAATTTCCATTAAATTCTAATCATGTAATTAAAGTAGAACACCCTTACTACTATCAAATGCAAGACCAAATGTTAATATGTGGTTTACCTTATTGTGATTTATTTATATGGTCATCTAATGAATTTTACTCTTATTGCTTGTCAAAGAATGAACCGTTTTATGAAGACATGCTTGTTAAGTTAAGTAATGTGTTTACTTTAAAGATTTTACCTGAATTATTGACTAGGAGTTGTTTTCCAAATTCAGTATATTCAAGTAAAGTCTACTGTTTTTGTCAAAAAGCACAATTGGTCAAATGGTTCCATGTGGCAATATTAATTACAAGTATGAATGGTTTCATTTTGCCTGTATTGAAATAAAAGAAATTCCTAAAAGAAAATGGCACTGTCCTCCCTGTCTAAATACAGATAAGACAATGTAACTTTAAGATTTAAATTTAAATATATTGTAAATTATATGTCTCAATATATAATTTCCTCAATACATAATTTTGTTAAAAAAGAAGTATTTAAATACTATTTTTATATTTTAAATAGAAAATTGTTTATAATTGTTCAGAAAAGTTTGATAATTGGTTAAGAAACAGCACTTTTGTTTGAATTAACTATTGCACAAATAGATATCATAATATCATTCAATAAGTCAACTTGTGTTATAGAAATAACACTTGAAAGTATTTTAAAACTCTTTAATCTTCCAATAACACGTTCAATGTGTATTCTTAAGTGAGACAATTTTCTAGACTCCTCAACTTCCTTAGCAGATAACTGTTTTTTTCCTTTTGTAAATGAAGGCCTGTGCAATGTTGCACCTTTTAATGCTAACTCCTTGTCAATAAGAAATCCTCTATCAGCTAGGATACTGTCTCCATATCCTACAAAATCTAAAAAACCTGATTTTATAGTAATTTCTTTATCAGAAATTTTCCCTCCCCAACCATGTGATAGAAATGTTATTGCTCCAATAACATTTCTATCACATGGTTATTGTGATAGCTCGAGCTTCTAAATTATTTTGGCGCTGTATAAAAATCTCCATACAATCAATTTCTTAAAATTCAGAAATTGTGATAGCATATTTTGTCGTATTGTTGTTTGCGAAGGCCATATAATTAGATATTTAACTTTTTTAGCCATTGCAGGGATCCAATTTCTTAAAATTTTGGTAACATTTTCTCTGCTGGTATTAAATCGATAGGAGAGATCTCTATTTGATAAACCTCGTCGTAGCTTCATCAAAAGTAGGAGGAAGTGATTTTCATAGCTCAGGTCTTTTCGCACTTGTGTGACATTTTCTATGAAGAGAGAAAGAATCCAATTAATTATCTTTTTGTTTTTTAGACCAGTCATAAAGTTTAAATTGCCAGAATTTAGTTTCACTGAATGAAAATCCCATGCTGCTCTTTCCAGTAATTTCTCTAATAATTTTAAATTTATTGTTATCTGATTGTTAAGTTTTTCTTGAATTAATGATGTAATTTCTTCTTCATTAGTTTGTATTCTTAAAAATATAGATTTAATTTAATGAACTAGTTTTATAGAAAAATACTTTATTTATAAATAAAAACAATTAATACTATAAGTATTAATTTTTAGTACCTTTATTGACAATAATTTTTGGGTTTTCCAATACAGTTAATTCAGCTTCAGATAATTCATTATCTTCTATGTAATTTAGTTCAATTTTTTTTATGTCTTCGATTAACTGATTGCTTGTGTCTTTTAAACTTTTCGTTTGTATTAGTTTTAGTTTTATTAAAAGAAAATATGCTGGGAAAGTAATCAGGGTGTAATGGATTGTTTGATTTTTTTCCTGTAAAATGTTTTAATTAAAAACATCATAATTGAATTATCTTTTCAAGCAATTGTATATAAAACTAAACTTGATATAAAAGGGAGGCTGCATATACGAGCATTATCTATTTGTTTTTCAGACCATTTATCTCGTTTAATTGCTCTGATTCAAAAATTCCATCTTTCTTTTTCTTTTTCTGTTGTTGTTTCAAATGGAATTCGGTAAAAACTTAAACAATCTCCTTTTTTTCTCCTACTGGAGCAACCAAAAGCGCAACAAGATTATGTTTTAATAATGTTTTGTTCATTTTCTTTTGCCTACCAACTACTGCGCATGTGTTAGTTTTTGGCAAAAATGTAAACATTTGCAACTGGTCTATATGAAAATGTCTAGTAAAAAAAATCAAGATAAAAAAAATAAGTAACGATTAAATAAATTATGAATCATCAGATGAAGGTAGTCAGGGTGTGGAAACTCAGAGTAAGAAAGCTCCAACAGCTCTAAGCAGTAACGCTAACACAATACTAATGCATAAATGGTTTTTTAAATTCAAATTTTCATATATTATTTACAGAAGTACTTTGTTTTACAAATGCATTTTTAATATCTTATTTTTAAAAATTCAAATTTTCTTTTCTAAGCTTTCTTTTGCTTAAATATTAACACTTTTTTTTTAATTATATACAACACTACTTAGCATCTTTGACAACTAAATGGATAAGCATTTAAAACTAATAAAAATTTTTTTTAATTTTCCTGAAATTATTTACAGTTTAGGGCTTTTTTTTATAAGGGCCTACTAGCGATATATATATTTTTTTGACAAATATAACAAACAAATGATGTAAGACTAAGTTACGACTCAATATACAAAAGCTCAAAAAAACAAACAATTTTGATAGGTTGCTTATTTTTTGAAGCATTTGAAGTCTGATATTAAATTGACATAATATATTTACATTATCAAAATTAAAATGGTAATTTTCTTATAGGATAAGAATAGTTTCTATATATAATGAGTGTATTAAAGTTTAAAAATTCATCATTTAAGCTACTGAATTTGACTTTAATGGCAATATCTTAGTTCATATTTTAATTTCTGATTTAAATAGGACAATTAATTGTAAGATTTACTAAAATTCTTAACCTGGTTGGAGCAGTCCTGAATAAAAACTTCTTAATTTTATCTTCCTCAATTCTGAGGAAAGATAAACATTGTCTTAACCCCTTTTTAGATAAAAATCAGAACTCAGTGTTTTTTATGTGCTGTGGTTATCTTTTGTAATTAATTTAAGTCTTATGTAAGTTTAATTGTCCAATATTTAGTGCATGCTTAAATCCTTTTTCTATTTAACGGGTTCCTAATATTGTTTAAAAAAAGTTGTTAGGAAGTACTCTTTCCCATACAGTATGTCTAGATTTATAAATAACTTATAGCTAATTTAATTTTTTAAGAAAAATAAAAATTAAATTGGTGTTTATACATGTATTTGTGTTTTTAATGATCATATACTAAACGTATACTAGAATAAAAAATATATATATTTGTCAGTATAAAAAGTTTGTTACAAAGGTTTTACTGTAAAATATAGAAATAAGGTCAGTAATTTTTTGCTGGCCTTAAACACTTCTAGGTCAGCGGGTAAGTCGCCATTGCCGAATACTGACCCTAATTCCGAGGGTCAGTATAATGTATATAATGTATATCTATGTGCTTCTATATAAATTTTTTTTACAAAAAAGGTAATAAAGAAGTATATAGATGATATACTTTTAATACATGGGTCACAATAGGTATCAGACATTGTGGCCCTTTGGACCATTTTTAAAACCTGCTAGAGGAGGACAACAAATTATCATTAATTTTTTAGTAAAAATAAACAATAGTTGGTTGCCCCCTCAAGCATGTCTTAAAAACAGTCTGGAAGTACCGATGTGCAACACTTATTTCGACCGCTGTAGTATACATTTTAATTTTTGAATTTTTATTCAAGTTGGTTTCAACTTGACTTTACACCCTCTGTATATATGCACACATATATATATACAAACACACATATACATTAGGTTTGTTTTACAAAAATACATTTTTAAAAATTGTCTTACCTCACCCATAATTGTATTCTATTTTATAAAACTAGATTAAGAAAGTTTTTGAATATAAAATATTTTAACTGGTGCTTCAAGACATTGTTAGGTAAATCTAAATAACTATGTTTTCAGTGTTTCAATATATTTTATTCAAAAAATAATTGTTTAAAATACTGTTTTCAAGTAAATTGCTTATTAAAGAAAAAAACTATGCCTATTAAAAAATCTTCGAATTGAATATTCATTTGAAATAATATTTCATAGTAAGAACTATTATTTTTTTCATGGTTAATAAACAAATAAAATAGTTAAAACAACTAAAATCTTAAGAAATGCCTAATATTTTTGTTAGTTTTACAAAAATTGTAAACCGAAAAAAAATTGTAAACAACAAAATTTTAAAAAATAGTTGTAATTATATTTTTAACTTATTAATTTAATGCATATTATACATGACCAAATTATATAAATCATTTTATTTGCTTCTAGTATTCTGTGTATATATTTTACAAATCTCTATATAGGCAGCAAGATTATGATGATGCTAATCAAATTGGACAAGATATTATGGAACTCATAAATGAAAGGAATTCACTTCAACGAACTGGCTCAAAAAATTCTGCCCAAGTAAGAATTTATTTGCAATGTAAAAATTATAAATTAGGCAAACTTTTGAATAAATTTTGGAATATGTTTACTAATGGTAATTTTATTATGGTAACTAGGTATGATTTTTTATGGTAACTAGGTATGATATTTTTGTTATATTGCACTAATAAATAGTTTTTAATAGTTTGTTAATTGTTTTATATTTTATATTCATATTTATATCATAAATTTCATTCAAATAGTGTATACATCTATTACAATAAAGCTGTTATACATATTAAAAATATTATTTTCTGAACAAAATTTCTGAAAAATCTAAAGAGAAAGAACTGATAACTATTTCTTTAAAATTATTTAAATGATGGGTTAGGAGGTGGTGTCTATAATGAATGGAATCAATCAATGCAAAAAGTTCAGGCAGATAGGGTCTATATATGAATGAAATCTATTAATGCAAAAAAAAAAGTTTGATAATACCTCGCTTTGTGTTGAAAAGTTGAAAGTACTTTGCTTTGTGTATGTTGATTCTGTAAATCATTTTTCTCATTTAAATAATTGACTACAAATTAGAAATTTTATTGGAAAAAGTTGTTCATTATATAAATTTATTACTTAGAGGTAATTAAAATTTGCCAATGTTACATCTTTAAACCAAAACAAACTTCTGGAATTTTGAATATATGTTTTTAACTATAAATATGATATCATTTTTATCACAGAGGCTGGGTTTTACAATTTTTTAGCCCCATCTTTTCGAACTATAATATTTTTAAAAAAGACCAACTCATGGGGGTGCTATTACGATTTCTGTTAACTGTAGCCTCACCGCAAGTGAAATTAAATAACTTCTAAAATATTTGCTCTAAAACATTCAGAACAGCTCTGGCTCAAACTCACCTTGAAACACAAAATTTTTCTTATTAGTTGTAGTTAATAAAATTGCAAACACCATTTCATATGCAAGCATCAGTAATCATGTCAACATATTTCATTCACCTTCCGGTGAACTTTGTACCTATAATGTTTTGATCGCCAACACACTGAACAAGGTATTCCAATCTGTCTTTACTATTGAGCCTTATAATCAAAATCTACTTCAATTTTCTCAACACACTTTTGCTTCTCTTTTTAACATTTTGTTTGATTATAAATCTGTTCAAAAACACTTTGAGACACTTGACTGTTATAATTTTTTTTTTTTTTTTTTTTTGTTCTGATACACTCCCAACAAGGCTGCAAGCAACCACCATTAAATTGGGAGTTAATAGAAAAAAAGAATAGAGTTATAGACCAAGGAAATGATAACAGAAGACTTGAAATGTTGAAGGTTGTGCGAGTCAGGAAAACATGAAGGTGGGAGAGAGTTCGAAAGGGTTGAAGTGCGGGGAAAAAAACTAGAAAAATAAAGGTTTTTAGAGGATGCAGAGAAAGAATATCACTTTGCTGATTGATGAGTCAAACGAGGTTGAGTTTTAGTTGATGAAATTAAAGATGATAGCTCCTTTGAGCAGCGAGCATGATAGTCACTGTTGTAAAAAAATGAAATATTGCTTGATGTCATGACCCAGAAAAATCCTTTGGGGGTATTATTGTATTATCACTGATGGTTACTGGGATGGAGTAACCAGATTTATAAATCTGGTTACTCCGTCCGTTGAAGAAAAATCCATTTTCAAATTTGGCATAAAATCACATTAAATACATAGTTGATGAGCAATTAACAATGTTGGTTTCAAGCATTTTTATTCATCCTAAAAACATAACAAAAATATTTATGCAATAAATTCACTGGTAAATAACAATTTTTATTCAATTCTGACAAAGTTTCAATTCTAATTGTTTTTTCTTGAGAAAACTGATTTGTAATATTCCTAATCAATATTTTTGCTGTTGAAGTCTGTGATGCATCTTTACAGCCTATCTTCATACTCTGGGTGGTTGCGTGGTTTCTTGTACCTTTGCCAATAAGTACTGAAAAGATATTCGAGTGCTTCAGTTTTGATTCAGTCATTGGTTTGGATAAATTCCCAAAAACTATTGTGGGATTGTATGAATTGTGGAACATAGTGGATGGCAGCATGAACCTTGGGGGTGTTGGTGGCGTTCTGAAGTTGTAAATAAGAGACTATGAATTGCTAATTTTTTTCAATAAAGCTTTCATCAAAATAAGCATTGAATTTTCCGGGAGGCTGAATAAGTGCAAACTGGCTTGAGTGCGAAGCATTGCAAAAACTGGTATAGTTGCGAACTGACATATGTGCAAATTGGCATAAGTGCGCTAAAGGAATTTGCAAACTTTGGCATAAGTGCAAAACAAGCTGCAAAAACTGGCAATTGCGAACTGGTATAATGCGAATCGGTATAAGTGCGCCAAAAGAATTACCAAACATTGGCAAAAGTGTGAATTAGCATAAGTGCAAAGCAGTTACAAAATCTGGCATGAGTGTGAACTGGCATAAGTGCATCAAATAAAATTTCCAATTTGCACTTATATCAGTTCGCAATTATGTCAACGTTAACAAATTCTTTTGGCGCATTTATTTCAGTTCGCATTTATGCCAATTTGCACTTATGCCAGTTTTTACAACTGCTTCGCACTTATGCAAAGTTTTACACTTATGCCTGTTCATACTTATGCAAAATCACTCTTATGCCAGTTTGCACATATGTCATTTGCAGTTATGCTAGTTAAAGCTCTTAGAGATTTACACTTTGCAAGATCTTTTTACGAAATGTCGCACCAAGAGCATGGATGTGCACTAGAATGTGCTTGTAGACCACAAATGATATTTACCAGTTTCATATTACAGTAAAAAATAAAGGGAAGTTCTGCAAGGTTTAGCAGATCCAAAAATTACTTGACATTGATATAGTTTTCCAGGAGATTATCATATTGGCAATCAGTAACTGACACCTAACATCAGAATCTTTATCCAGAGAATTGGTGAGAAATTATTTTTCTTATAGCGGAGATGTATGCAGCCTTGTGTTGTGTTACACATAAACAAGATTTTTTGCTGTTTGTTCTGGTCCATTGAAAATAATTATGAGAGATTTTACATTATTATGCCTTACATAGATTTAAAATATGAAGCTAAAACATTAAATATCTAATACAATGTTATCTGGAAGAACAGGATTAGGGTGGCCTTCTATTCCTGTAGGTACTTAGATGAACTGTTCCATGAGGTGAAGCTTCCTTGTTGGCAATGACTGATGCTGCAACTTTTTCAGCTGCCACAGAGTCAGGCCTTGTTATGAGATTTTGTTGCGTAACGGAAAAGCGTAACGTGAATATATGTAACTTTATTAAATAAAGATATTTACATTGTTAAAAGTTTAATTGCACCAGTTATGTATTTTAAAATACCTCATTGTAAATAAATTCAAAAATACATTAGAAATTATTGTAAGTCTTTTAAATGTTTAAAAAATTTAAATTTAAAATTATATCTTTAAATTAAACAATATTGTTATAAAAAAAGTTATAAATTAAATTTAAATGATGATTAAAAAAAATTTCCTTATTTTAAAATCTTATACTTATTTAAACATAATTTTTTTCTTTAAAAAATTATTTTTATGGTTATTTTTTTTTAATGAGGGGACTCTTGTTTATGGTTGATTTTCTTAAAGGGATGGAAGTGTACACAATTAGATTGGGTTTTCTCTTTTTTAAAAAAATCTTTGCGCTAACTGGCTTATGATAAAATAAAAATTGTAATTAAATGAAGATTACCGCTTTTTGGCTTTGTTTTTTTTTATTTCCATCAAAATATTTTATTTTTATGTACCGTGAAAGCAAATGTATTTTTACTGGTAATAACATCTTAAAACCGAAAAATAGTTTTTCGGTTTTAAGATGTTATTACCAGAACTTGTTTTTAACAAATATCAGTATAATTTTGAAATTTACCTATCTTATATTTATAGCACAAGTATTTTTTAATAAAATAAATATAAGTTAGGCTTTTAAAGAGTTTATTTATTGATTGCGTTATTTTTAATCGGTTTGAAGTTTAATTCGTTTTATAAAAAAATTCTTTTACTTAAAATTTAACGGCAAAGGGAAAACCCAAACTTAACATTTAAACTGGAGTTTGAAAAAACTTTTTTGTATTGACGTCATAAATTTATAAAAGCGCATCATTAATGCGCTTTTATAAATTTATGACGTCAATTTTTAAAGAATTTTTTTATAAAACAAACCAGACTTTAAACCAAATAAAAATAATGTGATCAATAAATAAGCTCTTTAAAAGCCAAACTTATTTTTATTTTATTTAAAAAAAGAATAATAATACTTGTGCTATAAATAACGCTGTTATTCAGACCAGTATTTGGAACTGGAACTATTTAAAACTTAACTGAAATTAAAATAAAGTTATATTTAATGCGAACATTTTAAAGTAACTTGAATTAAATTTATTAAATTTTTTTTACTTTAACATAAATTTTCAAACTTTTATCAGTAAAAAAAATTGTAAAACAGAGCGTTTTGAAATTTTTAAAAGAATTTTAATTAAATTTAATCAAATAAATTACTAAAACTATGAATAATAATAAAATTAACTTAAATTTAATCAAATAAATTAAAAAAATTTTTTTTTTAAAAAATACGGAAAATAGAAAAAAAGATATATCTGTTTTTTTATCTAATTAAAAAAATATTCCACAAATGTTTTTTACAACAATTAATTACAGTTTAATTTTTTTCGCATAATCTGTTTTAAAAGACAGTTTAAAATAAACTTATTGAAAAAAGTTTTTGCGTAACATAAATTGCAAAATGCATACGTAAAATCGTGAATACGTACATAAAATTCAAATAGGGAAGCGCTTCTTAACAAGGCCTGCAGAGTCCTTTGACTTGACTTCTGCTATATAATTTTGCAAGGTAGGCCCCTAAGCAATTGTATGGGAGACTTTTGCTAACAATTGAAAAGCATTGATAATATCTTCTGTCAAGTGAGTTTGATTTGTTTCAGGTTTCTGGGTTGCCAATACTGGATGTGAAG